AGAGAGGTTGGCTTGTATTCATGAAAGGTCAAGGAAACTTAAGCAAGCTGAGAAGGACCGCTAGCCTGAGGGTATCTGCCACAGGCACTCTGGGCAGTGTAAAGAGGCAGTGTTTCAGAGCTCCTGGGGGAGTTGAACCTTAGGGCCTTGTGGATGAGAAGCAGGTGGGCCTGCTGAAGTACTCCAGCACTGACATTAAAAGAGTTGGCCATTAGGTTTTATTCTTTGGGGATGGGGAGAGAAAGAAAAAGAAGAAAAAACCATGGTGAGATTGATTAGCAGGCCAGAGTTAATGAATGGCAAGTTAATTTTGTAGCACGGCTCTGCTCTGCTGTTTTTCTCCGTTACTGATAGAAAATCTTTAGCAATCTGTCAAGTGAAGTAGAAAAGCCGCCTAATCAGCACTAGCTGTGAGCTCACACCTCTACAATAACTGAAGGCTCTATAGGTGAGAATTCAAGTAACACTTTTAATTAATATAACTGTAGGGGAATGGCAAGGACCCCTTAGTGAGTGATGCTAATGAATGGATGTAGCTCTTCCCGGCCCCTCCTGGGGAAAATGTGGCTCAGCCACTAATTGGTGTAATTAGCACAGACAGTGAAAAGCTTTCCCTCCTTTCTTCAGCTCCAGAGCACCTGGGCTTTTTGTTTTCTGATTGCTTGGCTGCCCTTCCAGCCTTCCACGAAGTTCAAGTTGCTTTGGAGGTTTCACATGAAACCCCCATTTCAGATGCTAATTAGAAGCTTGAATCCTGCCCTCTGGGATTGCACTGCCTGGTCCAGGGGGAAGATGCTGGGAGTCCAACGTGAGCCCCTGGCGCTTTAAAACCCTTGCTAGGATAGGCTTAAATGTGTTTCTAGACAATTGTTACTTCATAAGGGGCTTTCTGGAAGTAGGCAACTGGAAAAAAAAGAGTAGGGGAAAGTGATTGTGTGTTGCTATGAAAGTAACTAAGTGAAAATTTTAATTCCTTTTTTATCTGTTCTTCAGTAAAAAGAAAGTAAATGACTTAAAGAGAGGACAGAGACTCCTAATGCAATTAACAATAACTTAAGAAAAAAACGGTTACACAAATGGGGTGATCTCCCTGCCAAAAGTGACCTTGTCTTCTCTCTGATGCTTCTGGTGATGCGGGAGAGTCTGGGGGAACATAAGGGAAGCCTCTGACTGGAGTACCCCCTCCACTCCCCAATGAGCTACATCCCCTATCAATTCCAGCTCCACTTCTGTTACGATATACCCTGGGAGGCAGCAGGTGATGGCTCAAGCACTTAGATCCCTGTCATCTACATGGGAGACCTAGTTCCAGGCTTCCGGATTGAGCTTGGACTGCACTTGACTGTTGAGGGCATTTGGGGAGCGAAGTAGCCAATTGAAGAAATCGTACATTCTCTCTCATACACACACACACAGACACACGATTGGACATTTGGCACAGCACTTGAAAGACTTTGTGGTTCATGTGAAAACCAACTGTTGGGAATCAGGATGCAGTTGTTTTAACATTTCAAAAAGGTTTCAGAGTACCAGTCCTTTGAAGTGTCCTATTAAAGTTCTAGGATATGTTACACATGAAGCATTAATGGGTATCAAGAAACATGTTTTTATTTAATTAAATCATATTCTAATTATGTATCTGTTTAAATGCAGTGATGGGCAAATCTGGATAATAAAATATGTTTTCTGATAGTGTTACTTTCTAGTTGCTTTTGCAGGGTATGGGAGAGATCATGCCAGTCTGGAATGTATTAAGGAGTCTGTTAACCAAGCTTGACAATAACAGGGCCCACTAGAAGTTAGCAAGTGAAAAGTCACTGTGGCAGTCCAGTCTGAATGGAAACCCTGGGAACGAATGCTCATTACCGTGAAACCCGTCCATTAACCTGGAGACACTTTTCCAGCTTTCCCATTTTTCTACGTTATCAAAAGAAACATGCAGCAAACAACCTGGACAAACTTACAAAACTGCAGACATTCACCTTTTCCTGGCTTCCCTCCACATTGCATTACTGCTAGGCCTCACCTCTCCTGGAACTTTTGAGAGTACACAAATTAGAAATACGAAGCATCTTAGCATTTGCATCTTTACTGTCCCACCCAAGCAGTGAATAGAGAGAGAGGAATACAGACGTACAGGGGCCATGCTCATGTGTCCTCGGAGTCTGCCAGTGGGAAGCCAGAGAACAGGCAGGTACTGGGGAGGCCAAGAGTTGGAGTGCCAGAGCAATGGAAGCATGAGACCAAAAATGTGAGCCCCTACCTATCATGGGCCTTTATGGGGACTTGTGAGGAGAGTGTTCACAACGATGCAATACTGCCACTGCCGCTCGGGCTCCAGGTGATGATAGGTGAGAGTCACAGGTGGGCAGAAAGGATTATATGGGTGGGCAAGGTGTGGCTTCCAAGGTTATGACCCTGGACTAGCTGCCTACCCCACAACATTAACAATGTGATTTTACCTGGACTGGGTCTGGTAGAAGCATCACTTTTGGGATAGCCTAGTGATAACTGCAGAAGCTTGCTGCACCTCATGCCAGGTATAATGCTTGGTTGAATTGGGGAGCTTTGACAAATCAGTAAACCACATTTGCAAACCATTTAAAGCAAAATGTAATGGATCGAGTCAGACATGAGGTTTTGTTTGTTTGTTTTTCAAGTTACTTGAATAAGAGAATGAAAGAAAAACCACTGACAGCTCCCACCTGCTGCTTCATGCTTCAGATGTCTGCAGTGGCTTGGGCTTGGCCAAGTCAAAACTAGGAGCCACGAACTCAATCCAGATCTCCCTTGCATTGAGTTCCCAGCTCCACCTTTGGCCTGGTTCAGCCCTAACTGTTGCAAACAGTTGGTGAAAGAACCAGTGGATGGAAGATCTCTGTTTTTGTCTCTGCCTTTCAAATTGATAATGATGATGATAATAATAATAAACATCAAAGCAGTGTGCCTAAAGCTGGAAATATTTGAGTAATCAGTATTTGAGTTATATTTTCCCTGTGTACCTCAGGTTAGTTATTACAGCTGTAGCTTTGGACACAGGGGCTATTGTGAGGTTTCTGAGACAGCACAGCTGAGAGCCAGGCTCACAGTGAGAGGAGTCAGATGGGATAGTTCTGGTCGCTGGTTCAGTTACTGTTACGGTGTGCAAGCGAGATCACACCAGACATGTCTAAGGTTTATTAAAAAGTCTTTATTAACCAAGTTTGGTGATAACAGGGCCCACTAGAAATAGCAAATTACAAGTCCATATGGCAATCCAACCAATTGAAACCCTAAGAGGAACAAATGGTCTTAACCCTGAAGTCCATACATTAAGCTAAAGACATATGTCTCAGCTTCCCCAGCAACATACGTTACCCTAAGAAACATGCAACGAATAACCTGGACATACAAAGCTGCAGACATTCACCCCTCCTCAGCCCCGCTGCCCACACTCCACCCCTGCTAGGCCACACCTCTCCTGGAACTCCCAACAGCACACAAACCAAAAGTACAAAGCATTGTAACATTGCTATCTTCATTGTCCCACCCAAGCAGTAAGCACAGGAGCTATGCTCAGGGGATATCTGTCCTCAGAGGTACCGGGGAGGCCAAGAGTGCCAGAGCAACAGGAGCACGCGACCAAAAAAGTGAGCCCTTCCATATCACGAGCCTTTATAGGGGCCTGTGAGGGGAGTGGTTACACAACAGTACATTACTGCCCCCTCTCAGTTGATAGGTGAGAGTCACAGTGGGCAAGAGGAAACACCTAGGTGGTGGTGGGGGGAGTGGCTTCCAAGCTTGTGACCCTGAACTAGCTGACTACCTCACCACATCACCTTTTAAAATATAAAATCATGATTCTCCCCATTTCTTACCCATCCAAGAGCACATTCTTCCCTTGAGGGGGGACCAAAGGACAAAATCAGTGCATCAGTTCCCATCTCTTAGAGTTGTTATAATAAAAGCAAGGAGACATAACCCATACTAATCCTCCCATCTCTGTTACTGTCAAATGGATGGTGCCTGAGTTTTTAGCTTATCATTGGGATGAGAGGAAGAAGCCACTAGTCCCTCCCTTCTGATGTTCTTTGGTTCTAGACAAGGTGTAACATCACTGCTCGTTGTGAAAGGCACCATTTCCACCATTTTCTGAGAAGCCAAAGGTTGAAGGGCAGCAGGGAGGCATTTCCTGGGGTCTCTCCTTCCTTGGAGTAGTCTCTTTCCCCCTTGTTGGCAGGAGCTTGTTCGCTCTCTCTCTCTCAGATTTCCTCAGGTCTTTTCCTGCTTTGGAATCCCGTCCTATCACTACGGCAGGAGCCCTCTTCCTTTCTTAAATAAATCTTGCCTTGCACACTAGAGTTGTCCACATGAAGGTTCTTCTTTTGTGGAAGTCAGGAAGTGAGGTTGCTGTCATGCTTTGTGTCAAATTTCCCTTAACAACAGGATAACCTGACTGGAGTGATAAGGGAGATTCCTGGGAGGCAGCCTGCCCGCCTTGGGGCTTGGCTGAGCCTTGCACAGTCTCTATGCTGCTCACTCTAGGGCACTGTCAGCCCACTTTTCTCACTGTTATGCTGTGCTAAGCCCTAGGAAGGCCAAGCAGATTCTACCTTCTACCTGTAGGTGAAGAGTTCTTCCTAAACTCAGCAAGTCAAATGAAATGATTGGCCCAGGTCTCAGCAGTTTGCCCTAACATGTTGGAGTCAAAACTTGAACCCAAAACTTCTGGTCCCAAGTGGAATGCTGTTTTCCACACAAAATTGGTTGTTAGCACCCACTCAGTCATGAGGCCAGTCACATTAAGTACAAGAAGGAGCGGGATGAAAAGAAACAGATTCCTGTTCTCTAGTGTTTTGAACTAGTTTGTTGTTGATCCTGGTTTGGAAAATGTTGTTTCCTGAAATAAAACATGGTCCATGTGGCCTAACAAACAGCATGTTCCAGTCTGTAAATAAGAAGTGGGAGGTGGAATTAACACGGCTCATGCAATGGAAATGACTGATGACCTGTGCTTCCAGAGTCACGAGCAACGTCTGTTGGGAATGAATCAAATCCAGAGGACAACTGGGACTCCAAGAAGTGGCTGCAGAAATACGGCCTGAAATCCCAGAAGTTATCACTTTATGATGTACTTGCCGACTGCTCCTTTCGTCATGCAGATGGAATTGTTGACATAAAAGCCAAACCGGAAAATGAATCCGTGCAGACCAGTGCGGTATGTGGGACTGTGGCCTCTTCTTAATGCCCTGGGTGGGTGAGAAGCCACCTGTGGGAGTGCAGGACAAATCTGGAAATGCTTTCTATAGGTATGGGAATTATGTATAAGTTGGGAGATGAGCTTTTAGAAATTCAGTTAAAAGGTGAAAGTTCACAATTCAGGCCTGGCATGATAACTTAGTGGCTAAATCCTTGCCTTGAATCTGCCTGGATCCCATGTGGGCACCAGTTCATGTCCCAGCTGCTCCACTTCCCATGCCTGGGCAAGCAATGGAAGATGGCCCAAGACCTTAGGACCCTGGACCCATGTGGGAGACTGGAAGAAGCTATTGGCTCCTGGCCCCTTGGTTTCAATCGGCTCAGCTCTGACCATTGTGGCCATTTGGGGAGTGAACCAGCAAATGGAAGGTCTTTCTCTCTGTCTCTCCTTCTCCTATATATCTGCCTCTCCAATTAAAAAAAAAAAAAAGCCCACCATCAGTTACTATTATATCAAAAGAGAAGCTTTCTAGGGCCCGATATGGTGGCCTAGTGGCTAAGGTCCTTGCCTTGAATGCGCCGGGATCCCATGTGGGCGCCGGTTCTAATCCTGGCAGCTCCACTTCCCATCCAGCTCCCTGCTTGTGGCCTGGGAAAGCAGTTGAGAATGGCCCAAAGCTTTGGGACCCTGTACCCGTGTGGGAGACCTGCAAGAAGTTCCTGGATCCTGGCTTGGGCTTGCATAGCATCGGCCGTTGCACTCACTTGGGGAGTGAATCATCGGACGGAAGATCTTCCTCTCTGTTTCTCCTCCTCTCTGTATATCTGACTTTCCAATAAATAAAAAAATCTTTTTAAAAAAAATAAAAAGAGAGAGAGAGAAGCCTTCTATTTCCTTGTGTTGAGTGAGAAAGAAAAACTGCTAGTTAATGTGCTCAAAGCAGGCATTTTCTATGATCCCCTTGTATTTTCATTATCTTTTTTGTTAAGATTTATTATATATATCATATAATATATATATATATTTAATTGAAAAGACAGACATATACAGAGAGAAGGAGATGCAAAGAGAGCGGTCTTCCTTCTGTTGTTCACTCCTCAAGTGGACACAACAGCTAGAGCTGAGCTGATCAAAGCCAGGAGTGTCCTCTGTGTCTCCTGTACAACTGCAGGGTCCCAAAGCTTTGGGCAATCATATAATGCTTTTTTAGGCCTCAAGCCAGGAGCTGGATGGGAAGTGAGGCATCTGGGATATGAACTAGTTCCCATATGGGTTCCTAGGCTATCACGACGTGTCCTGTATGCCAAATCAGATTTTCCAATAGCACTAGATAGGTGTATATTAGAAACTTGGCAATTGTAGTTCCACTGTGCCAAATGGGTCTTAAGGAACTACAGCTTCTCAAAGCGCCGGGCTTTGCCTCCCGGTGGGAGAACAAAGCACTATAGCAGTAAGTCCTAAATGTTACCTTGGTGCACGTGAGTCAGTCTGTCATCCATACTCTCTTAGTCTGTTTTGGGTTACTGTAAGAAAACACTTGAGGCTGAGCAATTTACAGAGATCATTAATTTACAGTTCTGAAGGTCCAAAATCATGGTAGTATCATCTTCACTTCTGGTGAAGGCCTGGTGCTGTGGTAGGAAGTGGAAAAGCAAGAGGGGTGTTTGGGAGCATGTGTGACGGGAGCAGATAGGAAGGGGATCCATTTTATAACAACCACTCTTTACACTAACTATTTTTGTCCTGAGAGAAAAGCAGTGATATTTTTCCCCCCTGAACAACTTAATCACTTTCTAAGGTGCCACTTCCCAGCACCACCACATTGGGGATCCAGCCTCAATATGAGCTTTAGTGAGGACAAATCCTGTTCAAACCATAACCAGTAAGGGTTCGGGCACTCTGTAAGAGATACTCATGTCCAGGAAGCAGAAATCTAGATGCCAGAATAAATGCTTAGCACAGGAAGACCAAGAAGCATCACAATATGAAACATGAAGTTAGGATGAAAGGGATATTCCAGGTTTGTAAAACGAAGGGAGATTAACCTTAGGGGTGAAAACTAAAATGCAGATTTCAAAGCAGACATGCAGGTGATTGGAACTCAGTGGAGACACCTGGGAAAGGACACGAAGGCTTTCCTCCAATACAGGGCTATTTTATTTCTTTTCAAAGGCTGCAATTCAATGTCAAGGTCATTACCGAGTTGTTTGAAACTCCAGTCTCTTCAACATGTTCTGAGGCTGGCTGACCAGGCAGGGTTTTTTCCTTCAAGGGGATGAGTTCTTGTTTCCTTACCACTGCATACTTATGACAAAATGCAAGGAAGAAGCTATAAAAAATTGAATTAGAAAAATGTAGAATTGACGCAAGACTTGTTTCCTGATTTACGCTTGCATATGAAATAATTGCTGCAAGGCAGGGAAAATCTCATTTGTGAGTTTCCTCCCCACCTCCCTCCCCCAACACAGTTTTCTAGTTTTGTAGGCATTATTCAGTAATGTTCAGGAAATCACACATAACTGAATTTTCCTTCTAAAAATACATTAGGCCTTGGATGTTTAAAAAATATTAATCCTTGTTGATATAAACATAACTTACTATGAGCTTATGACAATGGGGGGTAATACTGAGCTGGCTTAAATACTAATTGCCTCCTGACTCTTTGTTGACAGTTTTAAATGAAAATTTACAAGTCAGGTTTGAAGAATTTGGCTTATAAAAGGGATTTTTTTAACCTGCAATCAATCTTATGTGCTAAAGAATAATATTATACACACCGAGAATTATATAGTACCTCTATCTTCTTTCACAAATAATTGGTGAAAAAGAGACACATTTTTACAATGTATCTGAAACTGAATTTATACCTAAAATGGTGACATGTGTCAAGGAAGGGGAAAATGAGGCTTTGAAATTGGAATGTTATTTAGGGTTCCTCCGGACTCCAACTGGGTTGGGCCCACTACATGTTACAGCGATAAGAACTGGTTTACACCACATCAAGGAAACCCTTTTACAATGAGAAATAAATAATTAAATAGATCCTGCTATATACTGAGTCTCAGATGGATGAGCTGGTGGAAGCAGAAGACAAATAGTCATTTTCAATTAGATTTCAGGCAGAATCTATTACCTTGGTATTTTGGGCACTCCTAAAATCAATTGTATGCACAGAGGCTAACTGCTGGGATGCAAAACCAGCCTTGTCTCAAGGTTTATTCTTCCGACAGATAATTCCCGAACCTCCAATAGCTACCAGGCAGTTTTGATAAGGTAGGGTGACCAGAAATGAGGGTGTTGCTTCTACTGATTAGTAACTATAAAATAATAATTTCACTTCTTTGAGCCCTACTCTCCTGATTTGTAGACTGGGTGGTGTCAAGTGTCCAGCACTTAGATAAGTCACTTGTGGTTCGTCTTGTGACAGGTTGGAGGCAGGGTTTGCCAGGTGCTTACACAGTACCTTTCACACTCTAACCTGCTGCCGCCCAGTTTAAAACTTGCCTTCATGCAGCTTGAGAACTGGTGCTTTTCCAGTTAGGTGTGTGTAAGACACATGCAAGAAATGCCACATGAGCAGCTAAAAACCGAGAGAACCCTTTGGGGTGACACCCCTGAGAATGCCTTCATCTTTGCAGTAAGGTGGGGCCATGGCTCTCCTTTCTGCCTACCTTGGTAGCACAGGACTGGTCTTATCATGCCTCCCAGCCCTGTTCCCATCAGTCAGCACCAGGCTCCTGAACTCTCACCTTGCTGGGGTTGTAGAAGTTTCATCACTCTAGAGTGGAGATTGGTTTCTCTCCTTTTCCCCTTGGTCCTACGGGTCTGGCGATGGATGGTAGCCTCTTTCCTCCTCTTTGCTATTTCTTAACCATTTTCCTTCTCTTTTCCTGCATCAGCAGACTGTATCATTCTTTCCACAACCTTTGTGAATGACCCTTCTAGTGCTCTGACTTATCTTGAACCTCCCTCACTGGGTCTCTTGTGCTGTCCAGCAGTCCATCCAACCTCTCAGTTCTAAGATATCTGCCTTCTCCTTGCTCATCAAATGACCAGCACCTTCTCCTCCCCTCTAGCTCTCAGCAAGTGAATTTGCTTCCCATGTCATGGAACATCTACCACCACACACCTTCACCCTCCCGTATGCTCTGCTGCAATCCTCTCATTCCTCAATCGTCGTGGCCCATGTCAAAAGCCATCCCCTCCACACATAACACTCATCTCTCCACTTTCATGTCTTCTTTCTACCCTCCCAACGTCTTCTCAGTCTTGTAGTTGCTTTTAGGAATTCTCTATCAGCACACAAACTTGCTGTTATTTCTCTCATCTTAAAATGTGGTTTTCATAGCTGCTTCTGACCCTGCCTCATTTGCCCCATCCCTCTGTTCCTGTTTAGAATTCAGCTCCTCAAGACAGTTTTAGATGTACCCTTTCCCCAGTTCTTCAGTTCTATTTCCTATACTCGCTTGAACCCATTGCAATCAGGCCACAGTTACCATCTCTGCACCAAAACTGCCTCTCCAGGAACACCTGCAGTGCTGAATCTGAGAGTCACTTCTCGGTCTACTTGTTCTGACTTGACATAGTCTGTCAACATTTGATGCAGTTGATCACTTTCTCAGAATTCTTTTGTTTGTGGAATAGGTGTGGTCCTGGTTTTCCTCCTACCTTGCTGGCTGTTCTTTCTCAATCTTCCTTATTGCTTCTTTGCTGTGACCCCAGCCTGTAAATGCTTGGGTGGGGAGAGTACAATGCTGGGACCTCTCCTATATCTGTACACCTTCTCTGAGTGACCTTGTCCCATCCCGTGTGTGTATTTAGTGTCCTGTGTATTTGAGTTGTTTCCAAGTGCATATCCCACCACTGAATCCTGAATCCTTTTCTGATCTTCACCTCGTGACTTGACATGGCTGGTAGGCATCTCAAATCCAACAGTTCGGGCATTAAACCTTAGCCTTCCCTACTCAAAAGTCTCTCTCGTCTTCTTCCTCCTGTCACTTTTTTTTTTTATATATATAACTCCATTCTTTGACTTGCTGGGCTAAAGAAACACCCAAGTCATTCCCAATTCCTTTCTTTTCTCTCACATCCATGTATCTTCTTATTAAACCCTGTGAGTTCTTTCTCCGTAATAGAGCTGTCTGTCATGCATAAACTGGCTACTTCTTGCCATTCTTACTCCTTGTCCATGCCCCAGATGACTTCGTGATACCTTGCTGCGCCCTTGACCTTTGGCAGCCTGTTTTCAACAGTGTAATCAGAGTCATCTTGTAAAGCCATGGATTAGAGGTGCCATTTCTCGTTAAAGTTTGTGGATGGTTCTTTTTTTGCTTAGGGCAAAGGCCAAGTAATTTCCATCAGTCATCCTCATTTTACAGGATCTGCATACTGGCCTTCCTCCTCCTGTTTTTTTCCAGCTTCATCTGGTTCTTTCTTCCCTTGCTTACAATATGTCTGAAGAGTCCACAAACAAACTCTTAGCTCAGGCTTTTGTACTTGCTGTATTGTCAGACTTCCTCCAGATCTTCACATTCTTCATTCTTTCAGATCTCTGCTACACTTTAACTCCTTGTAAGGTGTTCCCATCTAGCTTTTAACTTGTCCCTCCTTACCCCACACCTCTTTTATGTCTCACATTTTCTAGTTCTATAATCTCCTTCTTTCCTTATTTTTCTTCAGAGCATTTGTCATCATATGACCACCTACCCCATGGTTTGCTTATTAATTGATGCTTCCCCATAATGAGAGCTCCACAAAACAGGGATATGGATACTTGTTTTTGGATTGTGTTCTAGTATCTGGAAGAAGAGTTGGTGGCCTGGAGTTGTGTTTGAGGAATTTTGGTTGGATTGAGTGATGGCAACAGAACTGGCGAGAGCTTGCCTTGTGGGGAGATTTGGTCCTGGGACCAGCGCTGTATGTCCCAGTAGAGAGTGCCACATTGTGAGACGGTTCTCATGGCTACTTGGCTGCATCTGCAGAGGAGAGTAGCAATGGCAAGAGGGTTCATGTGAAGCTGAAATCTCACTTCCTCCAGAGTAGTCTCTGTGCCCTTCCAGTTTGCTGTGAACCTTGTCTTGTTTTCCAGAACTGCCTGTTTCAACTAATGACTAAATGGTTATTGCATGGGGGACCAGCTTTGTGACAGAATGGGTAAAGCCATTGCATAAGACCCCAGCATTGCATATGGGCACTGATTCTGTGCCCTGTTTATTGAACTGTATCCTGGTTGCTTCACTTCAGATTCATCTCTCTGCTGGTGATCTGAGGAAGCAACAGAAAATGGGCCCCTGCCACCCATGTGGGAGACTGGGATTAAGCTCCTGGCTGTGGCTTAGCCTGAGCCTAGCTATTTTGGCCATCTTGGGAGTGAGCTAAAAGATGGGAGATATTTTCTCTCTCTCTTTGCCTTTTTCATAAATAAATAAATCTTACAAAAAATATTCACTGTATGAGTGAGTGCTAGTAGCTGGATAAATAAGGCATAGATGATACTGTCTGAAAACTTATTTAAGTGGTTTCTGTTTTTTGTCCTTTCCTTAGGAAACTAAGAAGAAGACAGTTCATGCAAAATATTGCAGTAGGTTTGTTCATGCTCCTTGGAAGGATGGAAGCTTGGTTCATGTCAATATTACGAAGGAGAAGTGCAAGTGGTACAGTGAGAGAATTCACACTGTTCTGGCTAACATCCAGAGGAGGTTGGTCTGTTTACAGGGCAGTACAAGCATCCAGTCTTGCTTGAAGTGTAAATCTACCTGATCGCTTAGTAAAAGCTCAATCCAGAGAAACAGCAGATAGTCATTGTTAAGTCAAGGTTTGTATCTGATGATTAGCTGATGGCCTTATAAGTAGCAAAGGAGATGTTTGGATTCAGATTCAGGGCTGCCCTGAAAACAGTGCGGATTCTTAAAACAAAGCAAAACAAAAAAAAAAGCAAAGTTAGGTTTTTGTTGTTAGTAACACTTCCGTGTAGGAGGCCAGGAAATACTTCTGCATGTTTTGTGGGTCAGAAGTATAGTGTAGACCGTATTACGTGTGTCCTCATTATCCTTGAATATTACATTTCCAGACAACTGTTACAAAGCTGTGAAATATTCAAATACAACTAATTAATATAATGTGTGGCTTGAAAGTCAGCTAATAATTGTGTGTGACCTCTCAATCCTGCTGACTCCCCAGTTTTTTTACGTGGTAATGTTCATGATTTCAGCGAATGTTTGCTGTAACCTCAAGGGCAGCCTCATGTGGATGACCTGCCTTCACCTCTTAGACTCCAGAGGAGAGTTTTAGATAATGAAGATCAAGACTGTGATCAAGCTTGGCTCTGGGATCACGTAGCACTAGATTCTGATCCCAGCTCTGTCACTTGCTGTGTGGCCTTTGACAAGTGAGTTAATGTCATTGAACATCTACTCATTTACAAAGTGGGAATAGTAAGGCCATTCATGAATTTGTCCTATGCCTTAGATCAGTTACTAAATCTAATGGGCTTAAGTCAGTACCAGAATACAACAGCCATTGGCAAATGAGAGATATCTGCCCTCCTTCTGTGTTATAAACCACAGGCTACACACAGAGCCCACCTCTCAAAACCCAAGCAGTGATGAGTTAACTCAAAACAAGTCATGTTGGTCTGAAATCTTCCCGATGCTGCAGGGAAGGCAGTTTGGGTTCTGGACCTGGGAGAGAGGCTGCTGCATGTGAAGCGTCCCACCTGGCAGCTGTTGGGGCCTTTGCCCCTCATTTCCCACAGGCTCTTAAGCATCATAAGGAAGTTTTCTGTCTTCTGGTATATTCTGGAAGTCTCTCTGCTTAGATGTTTGGTAGAATTCACTACTCAAGTTATCTTTTTCTAGACTTACTATTTTGGTAGGAATGTTTTTATGCATTCAGTTTCTTTACATGCACGTCGAACTGATACTGGTAACTAATATCCTTTTATTGTTTTTGTCTGTCTGACTAGAGGTTATCCATTTTATTGATCTTGGCAAAGAAGGAACTTCTGGTTTCACCAATTAATTTTTTAAAAGGGCTTTATATAGCATAGTTTAGCATATTAGGTGCATTGTTATTATCTTTTCTCTGCTTACTTTGGTTTAATTTTTTTTAAATTTTTTTTTTAACTGGATATACAGAGAAGAAGAGACAGAGAGATCTTCCAAACTGGTGGGAGGATTAGTCAATTGAATGATTACACTGGGTCATGGGTTTAACTTCCGTAAGAAAAATGCTTATTGGGCACAACACAATGGCCTAATTTTCTAATTCACCTCTTATAAGTGCTAGGATGCCATATGGGTGCCACCTCATGTCCCAGCTGCTCCACTTTCCATCCACCTGCCTGCTTGTGGCTTGGAAAAGCAGAAGAGGATGACCCAATGCCTTGGAACCCTGAACTCATACGGGAGACTGAGAGGATACTCCTGGCTTTGGATTGCCTCAGCTTTGGCCATTATGGCCGTTTAGAGGGGTGAACCAGCAGATGGAAGATCTTTCTCTCTGTCTCTCCCTCTCTCTGTAAACCTGCCTTTCTAATAAATATAAATAAATCTTAAAGAAAAAAAAAAGACAAATGCTTACTTATCTAACTTAGGAATTCTACAGCTAATATGATTATTGCTTCAGTTGGGCTCACATTTATAAATTTGTGTGAAAAATTATTCATTTATTTGAAAGGCAGAATTAAAAAGAAAGAATGAGAGAGCAAAGCAGATTATCTATCTGCTGTTTCACTCCTCAGATGGCTGCAACAGTTTAGACTGGGCTTAGTCCAGGACAATCTCAGAGCCTGGACTCCGTCTGGGTCTCCGCAGGAAGCCAAGTTACTTGGGCCATTTTCTGCTGCTTTCCCAGGTATGTTAGTGGGGAGCTTAATCAGAAGTAGAACGGCTGGAATTTGAATTGGTGCCACCCCTGTGTGTTGCTGGCATCACAGGCAGCAGCTTAACTGATTGCATCACAGCACTGGCCCCATGATTCAGTTTTATATATATATATATATATGTATGTATTTTTTAAAGATTTATTTATTTTTATTGGAAAGGCAGATCAGATTTATGGAGAGAAGAAGAGACAGAAAGATCTTTCATCCCTTGTATCACTCCCCAAATGGCACCATGCCAGAGTTGAGCCAATCTGAAGCAAGGAGCTTTTGTTTTTGGTGATGTTTACATAGTTGATTGGGGTGGGAGGGTCAAGGATTAGGGGAAAGTGAGACCATTGTTTCCAGATTTTTCTTTTTCTTCTTCCTGTATCTGCAGTAAAAGGAGAAATAATGGGAGAAACCACACCAAGATTCCCAACTGCCTCAGTACCTGGGGATGGGGGACAGCCATCCAGTGTCATCCTAGGGTCCCTGAAGTAGAGCACGCACCAAGGGTTCCACTCAAGTGGTTTTTATAGTTCTGAAATGCTGTTGATCTTGTCGATCCAAAGATGAGGAAATTCTTCCAGTGTTGATTTGCTGACACAGTAATTCCAGAGTCTCCATTTGCCCAAATATTTGCTGTCAACACTTGGCTGGGGTAATTGACCAATTTAATCTGTCCTCTTTCCTCTGCTATGGTACCAGATGTCCTCTGTGGGCCCCAAATGGGCCATATCCTCCATGTGCATCTGAGCATGCCGTCCACTGCCCCATCTTAGCCACTGAGGAGGCCCAGTTCTGACACATTCACTTCATGGTCAGTCCAGAGTAGATGCCAGATACTTTAAATTTTATATTATTGAGTAGTGGATTTTATTGCATATATTAAATATATATACATATTATGGTATATATACATATTCTATGGTATAATTGGAGACAATTTGAACTCTCTAGGACTTGTTTTTAAGTTACGTTAGCATGAGTCCAAGATGGCCTTTAGTTAAAAGTTAGTTTGAGTCTATTACTAAGACCATGACCTCTTGAGAACTCTTCTTGCTGCCCTATAAATTAACGAGGTGTTCCCCCACTGGCTGATTGGGTGATAAACTTTGTGTAAACTCTGAGGCATTTGATCCATCCTCTTCATTTTGGTGGATTGGTGTTTGGCTTCAGTATCTTCTTCACACACATGCCTTGGTCAACACTCAGACTCTCTAGGGCACACGTCTGAAGTCTCTGGAGCATGTTGTTTCTCCATCTCTTATTTTCTATCGCTTCCCACTCCTTCTATGCTGTAACCTCTTCTTTAGTATTTTCTCCCAGTAAAGTCTAACTTCCTTAGCCTTGCTAACCTCTGTACTCAAATTTAAATAGGTTATTTTTGTTCCTCTTTTCCCCACCTCTGTCTCCCAGGCTTCTGCTGTAACCAGATGTTTCATTGACATCCTGTGACAGGCACCTGAACATGGATGGGGAAAGCAGTCCCTACTGTCGCTAGGTTATCATTCCCAAGCTTACTTGAGGCTTTAGGAATGTGCTCGGTCTACCAGACTGACTGTACACAGAGCAAATAGTCTGAGGTCAGATCTGAAGGCTTCAAGATACCAGTTATTTACTTCACTGTTGAGTTTGACCATCACATTGGATTTATTTTTATGACATACTCGTTTTCTGACTTCTGTTTTACTTGGGTTGATGTTAGATCATGGAATGAGGGGATGATAAGAATATAAACTTAAACATAGGATTTTCTACAGAACAACTTCAATGTGAATAAATCCCACACTGAAAAGTGGACAATAAACCATACCCCACAGCCATGGACTCTGTAGATGTGTCTGTAAGTTCTCAGCAAGTGGCTCTTGTTGCCCATGACCTCTGTTCACTTTCAGTCTATTTCCTGCTTAGGATTACACGGCTGCAGAACAGAAGTCAACGCCTCTTTGGAAAAGCAGATCATGAGTGTGTCTATGTTCTCATTGACACATCACACTCAATGAAGAGCAAATTGGACTTGGTGAAGGACAAAATCATTCAGTTCATACAGGTTAGATGAAAACTGGTTCACGCATTAGGGGGCCTGTGCATTTTCAGTGGTCATTGTCTGTGGTGGTTGTAAACACTGGAAAGAGAAGTTTTGCACTTGAAATCTGCATTTCTCCCTTGCAGGCAGACCTTCATTTCTTTACAGATCCTTTCTGTGACATCTGGGCTGCCTCAGGGAGTTCCACCATCCATTGCTTCAGGTTTTCTCCATCCAAACGTCTGGTTTACAGAGACCTCCCCCTATGGTTTCCAGATGCCCTTCATCTTGAAATTGGATCCCCAGGGAAGGATGTGTATGCACAAGCCCCAGAGTAGACAGCATGGAAGGAATGAAAGCTGTCTGGGAGCTCGAAATTCTTCTCCCTGTATGACTTAGAGCAGGTGGCTCTGGTGTGGTGGGCATCATCATAGTGCTATCACTAGCCTAAGAAATATTGGTGTAAGCATGAATTAAAAATAATAGTAACAATGTTTGAGAAATACAAAACACAAATTTTTAATTAGACCAATCTCTCCCAGAGATACAATGGATTGCTGGAAGGCAAATGAATCAGTCTGTAACCAGCTAAAAGTTTTATCCAAAAGAGGATAAATGAAATGATAGCATTCTGAATTTTTGTTATTAAAAAATATTGTTTTTAGACCCCTCTCCACAGATGTGCCTCCCCTCATGGGGTGCTTGGTGTGATACCAAAAAACTGTTCCCCTTCCCAAGACCATATGAACACAGGCAGTATGGAGGGGCAGTCTCTCCCGCAGACACAAAAATGGAAGGCAGAAACATTCCCCATTCTCCTACCTTTCCCAGTAGTAATAGTTCATTGGAATTGAAAGCTAAATTTATTTTCTGCAAGATTTTGAAATCAATCATACTTTTTTTCTACGAAAGTATTTTCCACAAACTGGTTGAAGATTCTTCATATGTAAACTTATATTTGATATGTAAAATATAGCCATGGATACATACGTACATTTGTAAAGGGTTTAACATCCAAACTGTGCCTAAGTTTTACTTAAATGCCTTTTGTAATAGAAAAGATTTTTCTCTTCTGAATATAACTTATAGCTTTTAGGACTGAAAATTGATATCCTAGTGATTAGAATTCATCAAGCTGTTAGTTTTTCTAGACCCTTTCTCACATTTAAGTAGTTTTATGATTAAATAATAATTTTCTTTCACAGGAACAACTGAAACACAAAAATAAATTCAATTTTGTGAAATTTGATGGTCAAGCAGTTGCTTGGCGGAAAAAGCTTGCTGAAATCAATGAAGAAAATTTGGAGGAGGCTCAGTCCTGGATTAGAAATATTAAGGTAAAATGGAGACGCAACCTGGGAGAGTAAGTGGGAGTTTCCCAGCTGCACTGAATTGACTCACGGTATAGAAGTTCTTTTTTTTTTTTTTTTATTGTTGCTTACATTATATTATGTAGTACAGTTTTATAGGCGCTGGGGATCCCCCCCACCCCTCCCATACCCCTCCCCCCATGGTGGATTCCTCCACCTTGTTGCATAACCATAGTTCAAGTTCAGTTGAGATTCATTGCTTGCAAACACATGCCTAGCATAAAGTTCAGCGTCTTATTGTCCAGATAAGTTCAGTGGCCTCTTGGGGAGACCTTCTATGGTCTGAAGATAGGTCTAACAGAGTAAAGATCCAGTCAGTTAAAAGCCCCAACAAGGCCTCAGTATCATTATACAACATTATGGAATTAATTGACATAGTATTGGGTAAACAATATGTTAAAAATAATGCAAGTTCCATTCTTCGAAACATCTGGGTTGAGACAGTATCAATGACAGGTTCAAAAAATAACAAACCACCAAACAAAAAATTACAGGTTAAATCAAGGCAAACATGTGGTATCTAATCTTTTGGGATTCGCTCATTTCCCTTAGCATTATAGTTTCCAGTTGTGCCCATTTAGCCACAAAGAACTGCATTTTGTTTTTTTTAATAGCTGAGTAGTATTCCATGGAGTAGATGAACCAAAGCTTTCTTATCCAATCTTCTGCTGATGGGCATTTCGGTTGCTTCCATGTTTTCGCAATTACTGATTGTGCTGCAATGAACATAGGGATGCATGTTGGTTTGTCGTAAAACAGGTGTTTTGGATATATTCCTAGGAGTGCTATTGCTGGGTCATATGGTATGCAGATTTTGAGTTGTTTGAGTGTTCTCCAGACTGATTTCCATAAAGGCTGTAGCAATTTGCAGCTCCACCAGCAGTGGAGTAGGGTTCCCTTTTCCCCGCATCCTCGCCAGCAAGCGTCGTTGGTGTTCTTGTTTATGTGGGCCAATCTTACTGGTGTTAGGTGGTACCTCAACGATGTTTTAATTTGGATTTCCCTTATTGCTAGGGAGCTGGAACATTTTTTCATATGTTTGTTTGCCATTTGGACTTGTTCCTTTGTGAAATGTTTGCCCATTTCCCGTGCCCATTTCTTGAGTGGCTTGTTTGTTTTGGTTTTTTGGTTGTTTTGAAGTTCTTTGTATATCCTGGAAATTAGCCCCCTATCGCCTATATCGTGTGCAAAGATCTTCTCCCACTCTGTGGGTTGCTTTTTTACTTTGTTGATTGTTTCCCTTGCTGTACAGAAGCTTCTTAGTTTGATGAGGTCCCATTTGTTTATTCTGTTCTCAACTGCTATTGCTTTTGGTGTCCTTCTTAGAAAGTCGGTACCTACTCCTAGGTCTTGCAGGGTATTTCCTACATTTTCTTGCAAGAGTTTGAAGGTTTCTGGATGTAGGTTTAGGTCTTTTATCCATGTAGATTGGATCTTAGTGTATGGTGATAGATGTGGGTCTATCTTTTTGTTTCTACAGGCTATCAGCCAGTTGTCCCAACAACATTTACTAAAGAGTCCTTCCCACTTGCTTAAGCTGTCATTGGTCTTTTTGTCAAAGATTAATTGGCTGTATCTGTGTGGATTCCCTTTTGGTGCTTCTATTCTATTCCATTGATCTTCCTTTCTGTCTTTGTGCCAGTACCAGGCTGTTTTGATAACCACTGCTCTATAGTATGTCCAGAGGTCCGGGATTGTGATTCCCCCTGCTAACTTCTTATTTTTCAGGATGGTTCTAGCTATTCGTGGTTTTTTGTGTTTCCAGATGAACTTTTGAATCATTGTATCCAGTTCCGTGAAGAATGTTTTGGGCAATTTGATTGGAATTGCGTTGAAAATGTATATTGCTTGTGGTAGTATAGACATTTTAATGATATTGATTTTGCCTATCCAGGAGCACGGGATGTTATTCCATCTTTTGAGGTTTTGTTCAATTTCCTTTTTAAATAGTTTGTAGTTTTCTTCGAATAGGTCTCCTACACTTTTGGTTAGATTTATTCCCAAATACTTCATACTTCTCTCTGCTATTTTGAATGGTATCCTGTTGGTTAGATCTTCTTCCATCTTGGTGTTATTTGCGTACACTATGGCTGTTGATTTTCGTTCGTTAATTTTGTACCCCGCCACTCTGCCAAACTCTCGTATAAGTTCTAGCAGTTTCTGTATTGAGTCTCCTGGTTTTTCTATGTATAGGATTATGTCATCTGCATATAGTGAAAGCTTGACTTCTTCGTTTCCTATACGTATGCCTTTGATTTCTTTTTCTTGTCTTATGGCCTCTGCAAGTACCTCTAGGACTATGTTGAATAGCAGTGGCGATAGTGGGCACCCTTGTCTTGTTCCAGATCTCAGTGGGAAGGGTTCTAGCTTTTCTCCATTCAGTATGATACTGGCGTTGGGTTTTTCATAAATTGCTTTAATTATGTTGTGGATTTTCCCATCTATGCCTACTTTGGCTAGAGTTTTTAGCATGAAGAGGTGTTGGATTTTGTCGAAAGCTTTTTCTGCATCTATTGAAACTATTATGTGGTTCTTGTTTTGCAGTTTTTGGATATGGTTTATAACATTTATGGATTTCCGAATGTTGAACCATCCCTGCATTCCAGGGATGAATCCTACTTGATCCGGATGAATGATCTGTCTGATGATTTTTTGAATTCTATTGGCTAGGATTTTGTTGAGGAGGAATATTTTGAGCTCTTAGGAAGGCAATGGCTTCACAAAGGTAGTCATTTTGTTTACAAAAGTCATCATTAAAGCAGTCTCAGCCATTAATATCTTAAAGTTTAGATAAAACCTCTATTCATAGTACTGTATTTCCAGATCTGCCCTTGGCTCAAATCAGCCGCTTTATGAGAACAAATTTAAAAATACCGTATAATTTTCTTTTTACTAAAGCATGCAGATTTATTCCTTGCAAAATTCTATTACTGTTATAGAAGAAATTTTTAAAATGTATTTATATAGTAAAGATTTATTTTTATTGGAAAATCAGATATACAGAGAGGAGGAGAGACAGAGGGGAAGATCTTCCATCTGCTGATTCACTACCCAAGTGACTGCAGAGGCTGGAGTTAAGCCAATCCAAAGTCAGGAGCCTGGAGCCTCTTCCGGGTTTCCCATGCAGGTGCAGAGTCCCAAGGCTTTGGGCCGTCCTCAACTGCGTTCCCAGGCCACAAGCAGGGAGCTGGATAGGAAACAGGGCCACCAGGATTAGAACTAGCATTCATATGGGATCCTGACGCTTGCAAAGCAAGAACTGTAGCCACTAGGCTAGGGCACAGGCCCTCTAGAAGATACTCTTAGCAGATGGCTTCATTCAAAAGTGATGAACTTGTTGGAAACATACAGTGTAATCTCACAGGCATAATCATTCCTAAGGCTGGGACAGTGCCTGCCAAGTATTTGCCAGGGATGGGGTTGGGGAACTCCTGGGAAACGGTTGCTAGGAGAGCAGGTATCAGACCATCATCCCTGGGGTTCTCTCCCTGACTCCCCCCTCCCCCCCCCTCACCATCTTGTCAATACAGCTCTATCAGTTGACTCATCCAACAATGACTGTTGTGTATCCAAATCCTGCAGAAGGCTTTTGTTTTGCTTTTACATTTTAAATCTGAGATAAACTTAGATTGCAGGAAAGAGTTGTGAAAATAATACAATAATGTTCTTCTTATGTTTCAAGAACTAATGTCACGGTACATTTATATATTTAAATAATGTGTTATTTATCTGATGGGAAGACACACACACATACACACAGCTCTCATTAGCTTTCTACTTTACTGAATGTCTGGAAAGAACAGGACTGGACCAAGTCAAATATGGGAGCTGGGAACTCAATCTAGGACTCCCATGTATGTGAAAAAGAGATCCAGCTACTTTAGCCATCACCCACTGCCTCCCAGAGCTGCACCAGCAGGAAGCTCCATTACGAGTAATATTGAGATCAAAGTCAGGCCCTCCTATATGGGACAAAGTAGAAGTAGGAGCCTTAGCCAGTGTCTTGCCTTTTAGGCCAATTGCCTGTTACATCTAGTTGCATCTAGTCTCATTCAGTCTCTGGCAATTCCTCAGCCTATCTGACCTTGATATTGCTGAAGACTACTGCTTCGATTTTGTATAATATTTTCTTATGATTGAATTTGCGTTACAAATCTGGGAAAAGGATATCATAAAGGTGATGTGCCCTGTCATGTGATGTAAATTAGCCTTATTATCAGTGATATTATTTTGATTAGTTAGTTCAGATAGCATCTGCCAGAATTTGTCCATGTTACATTACATTATATTTTGCTTTGCAAGCAATAAATGTTTTAGAGAAAATACTTTGAGAACACAAATGTCTTTCATCTCTTAAACTTTGCATGCAGAGGTAAGTTGTCCCAGTAGCAATTATTAGTGGACTGATGTGAATTTTTTGTTTTTTTTTTTTCATTCCTTTACCATGTGCTTATTGAAATTCTATTATAAAGAAGTTTTCCTCTTTTTAAAAATTTAATCTAATTTTTAAGCCATCACTTATTCCATCTAATTTTTTAAAAATATATTTATTTTATTCTTTATTGGAAAGACAGATTTACAGAGAGGAGAGACAGAGAGAAAGATCTTCCATCAGCTGGTTCACTCCCCAAGTGGCCACAATAGCCAGATCTGCAGCCAGGAGCCCCTTCTGGGTATTGCATGTGGGTACACGGTCCTAAGGCTTTGGGCCGTCCTTGACTGCTTTCCCAGCCACAATCAGGGAGCTGGGATGGAAAGTGGGGCTGCTGGGATTAGAACTGGTGCCCATATGAGATGCTGGTGTGTTCAAGGTGAGGACTTTAGTCGCTAGGCCACCACAACGGGCCCTATTATTATTTTTTTAATAGTAGGTAATGTTACATTAGGAAATTTAGAAACCAAGTTTGCGCACCTAGATGTGTTCTTGATTTGATACCTGTATGAATTAATCATGAGCCACAACTTTG